GAAATCTGACCCCCTACTTTTTCACTATATTTTATAATTAAACCTTTAGAAATGAGGTGTGATATGCGTTAATCCGATGTTGGGGAGGGTCGGTGAAGGCCTAGAGTCTCCTGATTTTTTTTTTCTTTCAAATGTATATTGCAGAAGGAGCCTTCCCCTCCTTAACGCCACTTCTCAATACTAGCATGATATACAATGTACGTGGTATGGATTTTTTTTTGCTTGCATCCCATTGAGTATACCTTACTGTGGAGCATAAATTATATATATATATATATATATATATATATATATATATATATATATATATATATATATATATATATATATATATATATATATATATATATATATAATCCGTTTTGTTTGTTTGTTTTTTTTCTCACAGGTTTTGTTCCGAAAATGACATGATATGTTTCTGACAACGATATATCTGTATGGAATGGATGTTATCGGAAACCATTTAAAGGATAAGTTTGTAGCCTCATACTTCTAGCTTAAAATTTGTGCCCGCTTTCAACCTACCTCCACCCCAGCTTTTACATGTATCAGTTTCTGGATACACCATTGCATTGAAACAAAAAACGTATTATTATTTTTAAACAAGGAAAGAATTAGAGAAAGCATGGCATATGAAGCGTCCAATATGGAGATGCTATTATTAATTTTGATTACTGCTTCATTTTCAATATCATGTAATATCTTTTTCCCTCATTTAGGTTCATTTATCCTTATTTATTACATGAATATTAATACCCCCGCTTCGAAGGAAATGGGGGTGTATACCTTGTTACCCTGCGAATCTCTCTGTTGTGTGTGCGGGGTGATCGAGTTTTTGTGTCTGTCTGTCCGAAACAATTTTTTTCGTTGCAGTTTTCTCAGCAACAGCTCATTGCAGATGCTTGAAATTTTAATACACTCTTTGGTTCGGCATGATATTCATTTTGGTACTAATCTTGTCCCTGTCTGTTCGGTTGGGGTATCACTAGAGAGCACTGGCTCATAAATTTCTTGTTTCCCCTGTAATTTGTGTACTTACAATTACTGTCTGTAGAATTATATTATCTCTATTTTAGGAAAAAAACGAATGTAGCTAAATAACGTTAACTTTGAAACACTAAATATATTGTTTGTATCAGGATCGCTATATGAAAAACACTGATAGTCTCTAACAAAAAAAAATAGTTTACCAAAGTTAACTATAATTTAATGCAGTATCAAAGTTTTTACTATAGTAAATCAAAGTATTTTTTTGGATATATGATTGTGATATTTTATGCTCTTAAATTTACATATGAGCATTTTTATATTTTAGGGAACTACGAGGGGTGATCAAAAAGTTCGTTAACTATCTCGTTATTTACAAAACCACAGTTCAGATCAAAATGAAATTTGGCACACATTTAGTCATAAACATGTTCTATAAATAGCAGCTATTTGCTCCACGTTTGGACGTCACAATATAAAAATGACTCAATATATAGATGACGTGACAAAAAAATGGTTGACTCAGTCGCACTTGAGCAACGAACGGCTTTAAAGTTTAACGTTTATCTCAGAAATTCCTTTTCAGTAGCATATAATAATTTGTACACGATTTATGAAGACAAAAACACATGGCAGAAGTTCAATCATTAATTGGATTGATTGTTTTAGTGAAGGAAGGGAGGTGGTTAAAATGATGTTTGTTCTGGTGCCCAGTGAAAGCAAGCTTGGGAAGAGATGTATACTTAGTTGAGCCATCTGTAACGAAAGATCGCCAAATTACAGATAAACGCCGCACCCCAATACAAAAGAGTCGGGTTGTGATGGTCACTATGCTCATTCTGGGAAAAGATATCCTAATCCACCAATCCTATATGTGACAAATGGGCTATTCTTGTTATAAAAAAAATAACTTGCATGGTAAGAAATATAAGACTCGGAAAAATCTTTTAATTTCTGTGAACAGAACGCTACGGAGCATGTCACGTGAACGCCTGGATCACGTGATTCGCGCATGGGCAGAACGATGGCAGATGTGCATTCAAATCGGAGAGAACCACTCAAAAAAATAACAAGAAAACATTGATGTAACCATCAATTGTGGCCGGGAAATAAATAAAGTAAACAATGGAAATGAGTCTTTATCATCAAACCGCTTCGATATGTGTGAAAAAGGCATGCGTCTAACTGATGGAGACGATAGTCGAGAATAATTTGAAAACTTATAGTCGGATGAAAATCGAACAAAAACGATACCCTTTTAAACTTTATCAATTCCAAGTAAATGTTGGCTGCATAAAATATAATTTGAAACCAGACACATGCATCACCTATTTTCAAAAATATCTTTCACTTTAAGAATATAAAACACGAACTGTGTAAAGTACATTTTTACGTTTTTCTGCGATAAGTAAAATTCGATGTTTTAAAAAAAGAGACCTGTCGTTTTTTCGATAGTAAATGATAAGCAACTTTATATATTAAATATGAAAAACAGATATATTTTTACAGATTCACTTTATGGAAGTAAATATATTGTGTATCTCGTAATTTATAAAGGGAAAGAACATTCTGATTAACAATCTTTTTAATGTTTAGAAAACCTTTAATTCTGAATAACTTCTCCCACCTCAATCCCCATATACCAACACTTAAACTTATATGTATAGAGCAGCCCGGTCCTCCGGGCTGCAATAAACATCGAAATCTGATTTTATTTTTTTATGGAAGTAATTCAATCAGTTCGCGAACTTTTTGATTACCCCTCGTATTTCTTGTTCATTAACATATCATCCTAAAATTTTACATTACTGATATCAATTTAAGAAAGTTTCAGCTTTGAAATCTCAAAAAAGTTCCAAACAAAGTTTCATAGTTAATCAAAGTATTTACTATAGTTAATAATAGTAAACTATAGTTATAATAAACTATAGTTTACTATAGTAAATTTTTGTTAGGAGTGCCCTTCGATTGTGATAGAAATACTGGCAATATACTCCCCTTCCTTGATCATTATATAGATACATGTATAATCTACATCATCATGCGCATATGCATTATGTAATTCCTTATAAGTAGGGTTTTTGATGTAAGAAAAAAAAATTTTTGTTTATTTTATCCTAAAAACTCTTATATTTTCAAATCCTCGTATCACACAGCAAGATCGCTTAATTTGTGTATAGGAAAGACATGGCCAGATTTTTTTTTCTATAGGCTAGCAACTTTAAAGAGAGGGTTACATCCTCGTTACCCATCCCCTCAAAACTTACCACTAAAAATACGCGACACGAATCACGTACTTGATTTGAACACAATATGTGTTACAATATTTTTTGGCACAGTTCTATGTAGTCTTGCAAACACAACTTCAATTGTGCTAATATTGCCAATCATACTTAGGAAAAATAGTAGGTAAATTAGACAGAGAGACTTTTTCATAATGCAACATTCGGTTATTTCTATTGGTAAAAATAATTACATGTAACTAGAAGGGGGAAATACGTACTACTGTGTATAAACCTGTGTCAATTCTTAGTATACCAAACACCTCTTTAATTAATTAATTAATTTTTTTTATGTAAAAAACCTCTTTTTTTACATTATTTACCCAGAGTAAAATTTAAAGAGGATCATTACAATTATACACAGAAACCATGTATTTTTTATTCATATATAAGTTTCTCTCTCTGACACCAGCTAAGTAAATGACTTTGTTTTTTTTAAATGACGACTCTGGAATCTTATATATATATATATATATATATATATATATATATATATATATATATATATATATATATATATATATATATATATATATATATGAAATTTGATAAAACAAATCTAAGAACACGTGTATTTTTGCTCTTATAGTCATCGAACAGCATAATAGCTTATAGTTATTTGTTTTCCTTTAATGGGATAAAACATCGTGTATTATTGCTGTACATGTAAGGTATAGTGTAACCTTTTTTTACTGAAACTTTAAAGCTTTTAGGCTGCGTGATTTTACCTCTACGTATTTGCCTATCAAGAATATTCCTACCAAAACCAGTTTTTTTTTTTTGTATAAAATAGACACGGGGTCATTATTCTACGGGGTCATTTTTCCAGAACCCAGACGGAGAAAAAATGACCCCCAGGCCATAATTTCTACAAAAAAAGGGGGTCATTTTTCTACGTAGAATATTGACCAGGGGGTCAAATTTCTACGTAGGAAAATGACCCCCGGTCAATATTCTACGAGGGTCACTTTTCGTCGTTACACCGGGTGAACTATTGTCCTTGTAGCTTTCCCTACTTTTCATTTTTTTTTTACATGATTTACAACATTTGAATGAGATAAAATGGGTCTTTCATATTTCATATCAGCATTACCTGTGAGAAGGCCTTTTAGAATATTCAATGATTTCTAACCTTGAAATTTGACCTACTTTAAAAAATAACATTGGCAATAATTTTTGAAAATGAGAAGTCAATGCCCTCATTTTAAACATGGACAGATCTTGTGACAGGACCTTTCCGAATGCTAGATATGTTTTTTTTTTACTTCAAGACCTTGACCTTAACGTTTGACCTACTTTGAAAAATAACCTTGATCATAGTTTTTGCACCTGTAGAGACAGGCCTTTCATGTAACAACTAGTATATGATATATTTTCATACAATAGACAGAATTGAATGAAAAATTTATGTACCAGAAAGTATAAATATATTCGTTTGAACGTCAACGCAGCTATATTCTTCATCTTTTTGGTAGATTATTATCTATCGTGAAATGCGTGATTGTTTTGGATCTTTTCTCAGTAATTTTCCATGTCTTTTCGTAGGTATAGTTTCCTACCTCATCCCTTGTCATTTGATCCTAGAAAAATTTGTTTTCACTTAAAAGAAACACACACACACACACAAGGAAAATAGTTCGAAAATGGCATCTTACACAAAATATGAAAACAATAATAAAATATAACAAAGTTGATTATTCTATTAAACAAGATTATATATTAGATGTGATGTTAAATTATTTGCAAGAAAGAAAGCAACTGATGGCTATCAGAAATTTTTTGGGATAAAAATTAAAATTGTAATCAGCCTTCAATAAGAGTAAGAGTGACAGTATTTGATTGTGTGTTATTCTGCTTCCGGAACCGATCACAAATGACATGTTTCAATGAATATCGAATGTGGTAGTCTGTCAACCAAAAGAAAGATATAACGGAGCTCACAGTAGCTCCCATGTAGGTAAAACCAACAATCAGTGAGTAAGGCGGCATGCAGGCAATACATATTGCCAATAGTAAGTTCATCATATGAAAAGGAGCCCAGAGTATCAGAAACGTCACACTGATCAGATATAATGTTACTACAGAAAAGTTATTTTCATATGCGTAATATCCCGAAGTTCGCCGCGTACTAACCGATCGAGCGCTTGGTGTTCTGCTTTGTTCAGTTGAATTCTGATGAAAAGAGAAAAAGTTCGTGAATATCATCACCAAAACTAAAAACAGAGCTGGAAGAAAAAACACAAGGATAGGTGAGGCTACTGAGGCTTCGTCGACCAGACCAAACACACACATATCTTGAACGTCAATAGGTGATCTCTTAAATCCTCCAATCCATACAGGTAATACAATAGCAATGCCAAATATCCACGGCAAAATTGCATATACTTCTCTTTGAAGTCTAAATTTTACTGATTTATACAAGGAGTGCATTCGAGCAAATACAAATCTGTCAATAGACATTAAAATTAGAGTCATTAAGGATGTGAACGGTAAGAGGACATCAAGGACTATCCACGTCTTACAAACGATCGGCCCAAGCTTCCAGAATGGACTCATTTCCTGGTAAACCACCAGTGAATTCACCAGGAGACCCATCAAGAGATTTATGAAGCAAAAGTTTAAGACACAAGCGTACAATGGCTGACTCCGTAATTCCCTTGTTAGCAGAATCACAAAACAGAGACAAAAATTAACTAGTGTAGAGAGGCAGGTGAGAACTATGGCAAAAATAGCTATCGGCATGGAGTGCACATTATGTGCTTTTTCAATGTCCCTTATAAATAATGTCCAGTTTGGGTATGTGTGATAGTCCTCATACAAGTAAAGGCCAGAGCCGTCCTGTATTGTACCGTTAGTCATCTGAAATAAAAAAAAAAATGTACTCATAAATGATCATGATTGTAAGTTATGACATGCTGTAAAGGCTATGACAACTAACAATCCTAAGTCTCTCGATGTCCATGAAAGGGCCAATATGTTCACTCTAAGAAAATTTAGGGGTTTTGCAGCTTTATTCTCTCTGGCCTAATTTTGTGTCAATGCAGAGCTAAACTTGAGGACCACTTTGCCCGCGGCGTCTGTCCTCTCTATCTAACCCCTCACTCTACTCCTTTTGAACTGATTTGATATTTTGCTTATGTATTGCTCTTCACACTACGTAACCTTGAACTGCTTTTAATATAGTCCATGATGTCGATATGCACTAATATTTTTCTTTGTTTCGAAAAGTGAGAGGTAAGTCTTCAGATATATAGCTTGGGCACTGTTTGCAAAATACAATGTAATCAGAGTTACAGTCCAGTTGACCTTTGGCATTCATTCAAACCGTTAGTTTCTCTTCCGTCTTTTGAAAGATTTAAGCAATTATGTTTATGACCTCACAAACTATAATCTAAATTTTCATGATGTACATTTACTGCACAAACTGAATTTTAAAAAAAAAATGCCTAAGCTTCGTTTTTTAACATTAAAATCAGAGGTTGTTAAGCCAATGACATTCAATCTTGACTTCTCCATGATTTTGTAAATTGGAAGCTTATGACCCTTATGATGCATTTTTAAAGAATGGTGAATAATATAGCATATAACTCGGGTACATTTGAATAATATAGCAAATAACTAGGTACATTTGAATAATATAGCATATAACTGGGGTACATCTTCTTTCCATTAAAAAAAGAGAGAAATTCTCTTGAAATTTGAAAGACAATCTTAGTCCGGAATCAAGCATGGCAACGCTATATAAATATATCTATCAGTATGAATATTTTTGCTAATATTTTATCCTTTATCTAATTTAAGTTATCAAGATGAAATTTTAAGCCTTCAACACACCTTACCAATACACCTGATTTGACCTTAATACTCCTGAATCGGTTCACAATGTAATGTACTGAATAGAATAATAATTTATTTTATATTTTTATTATCTTAATTCTTAAGTCACGCATCGTTAATCTATATACAGTAAGAATTCATTAGATACGTAACAAACTACGTAAACTACATACAAATATTATTAATGTGTAGGAAATAGACGTCAAATTTAAGATGATTTATTCTTAAATTTATTGTAAACATTGTCTGTGACATGCATGAAATAATCACGTATTCTTTGCATTATCAATTTATTCACCATTTCAGTTCTAATACTAGCTACATGCATTTGCCTCCTCGGCGTGGGAAGGTTATGTGGAATCAGACATCTGATGCTTAGTGGTGTTGGTGTTCTCAAACAAATTATTTGCGATAAACTTGGTGTTGAAAATATTTTTCACAAATAAGTTTTTTTTGACAATTTCTGGTTTAAAAGATCGGTATTCACATAACATAAAATCTTAAAATAAATTTAAGAGTCATACTGCGCTGAAGCTCCAAACTGACAACCGATCTAAACTTATCTCCAAGCTTTTAAAACAGAATGAACGTCTTCTATAAATAGATATTGAATCCTTCAATTTCATGAACAACCAATCCACAAACATAACGTGTCCTGCAGCGACTCCTTGATTTAATGTGAATGTTGAAAAACAACTGTGCATTTTATCAAAAAAAAAAAATAATAATAATAAAATAAATGTACAAAAAAAAGTTTCACTATGTGGTGATACATGTAAATCCTTTTTTAGGAAGAGAAACATGATTAATTATCTTGTTATTGTAATTTTTAATAATGTGCTTTCTGGCCTTTTTTAATCTCTGTTGTCCAATCGGCATATTATAAGTAATTACCGCTGTGGAAATGCTCTGTGAAATGTGTTCATTGGATAAAATAACCTACTGTATATTAATTTATACTTTTACTCTGACATTTCACTTTTCTTAAAGAAGATGGGCGTATTTTGCATGTGATCTGCAGGAATCATTTTTACGAAACATTTATAGTATAAATGTCCACGATTTGGTCGGCTGACCAAAGTTATGCACATAGGAAAAGTTTTGTTTTTTGTTTGAAATACATTGTCAAATTATTTAAGTTCCTTGGTCCTAACCCTTTATCCCCCGATAACATAATAACTCTTCACATAAAAAATAAACACCTGTAAGATAATAGGGTATAGTTAAATGCAATATCAAGTACATGTATATATTAAAATATCAGTAGATTGGAAGGATTGATTTTGCTTTCGGTAGAACAGAACCAAAATTTATCTATTTTAAAATAAATCATTACATAGAATTAAACTAAAAAAAGAAATGACTGTTTGCATTAAAAAAAATTAACGCTCCTGCGAAGGATCGAACCACAAAAAAAAATATATTCCATTGCACTGGAAGGGTATCGCATTCTACTAAGTTATCATAGCTTTACACACATTAAGGATTTTAAAACGACAATGAAGCACCACACTTACACACACTTTTTTTTCAATAAGAAGCATTTTCAAAGTCCGTTTTTTTCATTGTCTCTGGGTCATTTCTTCTTTTTTACAAATGTAAAATTTGCTTCTTTGAATTAAAATACACACAAATAACGTTTCAAAATCATGGAGAGATAACCCAGAGATAGAAAATTTTAAGAAAAACGTGTTTAAAAATGTAACATTTTTTACCACATAACTCATCTAACCAATTTCCAAGTTATTTTGAAGCATATCAAAACACAATATCGGGAAAATATTTTCTTTTCCTATCTCACAGGAACCCGATACATCTAAAGAATGGAAAAAATTCATGTGACAGATCAATGAAATTTTCACTTTTCGAGTGCGGCCAAATTCCTGCCGAATGACAATCAAAAGCGCCCTCCTTCTTTTTGTTACAAACTACGGCGCCGCTGAAGGGCCAGATAATATATATATATATATATCCGAACAAATATGTCTGAACAATTAACTATTTTTTTTTTATCTGGCCCTCCAACGGCGCCATAAGAAACAAATCGAGATGTTTTTTTCGATCTTCATATGCTGATTCATTTAGTCAGTGCTTTCTGACCTTGACCTTCCTTTCGACCATGACCTGACGTTTCTTGAATTTGCTTTCAGTTCAGTTTCAAAGAAATCATTCAAAATATTTGTATGTAAGCATATGCACTGATAGATAATTGGTGTGAATTAATCAACTGTGTCCTATTTTTTTTCACTGCCCTTCCCAATGACTTTCACTTTACTATTTATTGTGTATTGAACTCAGTTTTAAAGAAACTATTCAAATATTTTCATAAAACTTCATATACTTATACAATTTTTCATGTTGCATTAATTATGAACCCTTAGGGGGGCATTTATGTACTTTGAACGTTTTTCTAGTTTTATCAGAGATGATATACTCGTTACTCAGAAAAATATGTAGCATTTAAATAGCAAAACCCAAACTGAAGCTGTAATTTGCACTTAAATCTTTATAGCATTTCAAAAAAGTCATAATGCCATTTTATTTAGCGTTGAATTTCCAGTGTAGTGATAATTACAATATGATCATAACAACTTTTTTAACATGCAAATTTCGAGTGAATCTTCTGTTTAACATTAAGACCTGTGAAAATGTTCACTCTACTGAAGCCTCTATCTGTGATCAAATGCGCTTGGCACAATTATGGCTCAGAAAATACTTCAATATCTCAGTGCTCAGAGGTTTAGACCTACGAGATCCGACTTTAGTCAAGATCTGGAAGCTTTTGCAATGACAAAGTATATTCCAGCCAAGGTTTTCTAGAGGTACATATTTGATCCATGCATGATTTTCTGCCAAACAACACAGTCATCGGAAGGGATACTTTGGGTTTTACTGCATCAACAATTAAAATAAAACAAAGCAAAACTCAGAAATGATACTTTTGAAATTCACTATTCATTATTTAAATAAAGCTGCTAGATTTTGTTTATGTAATATTTAGGGGAGGGGGAGAAATCTGAGAACATAAGAACCCAAGCTTGGGGGAGAGGTACAGTGTACATATGTATCCCTAGGTCTCCGAGACCAGGCCCCAAGACCATAAACTGAGAACAGACTTAAGTCAAAATTTCAAACCAATATAACTTTTAAAATAATTTTGATAACGAAACAAAATTTTCATCATATATTTGAATTTAAATGTTATATATAAAATTGCAAAGTTTTAAGCAAATGCATTAAATAAAACTCAAGATATTAAAAATCAAAATTTAGACTTAAGTCTATTCTCAGTTTATGGCCTTGGGGCCTGACCTCCCCCCCCCCCCCACACACACACACATACACACTATCAAGAAACCGGTTGACATCCTTAGCCAAGGATACACCAAAGTTAAATCAGCATGTCCTTTCCCCGAATTGTTAGAGCTGACTTAACATAAAAAACGTTTTCTGGGATAGGTATTTGAATAACGTTTTTGATTCAAGAATTTCATGTGTTTAGAAGAATTTATGACAATTTATTCTATATTGAACTGAAATATGCTTATTTTATGTTCAAACCACCCCTCAAGATAGTTACAGGCATCCAGACGCAAACGCAATGAAGATACTTAAGTAGTTATTTTCATTTTCTCTTTAGCATATGTGTAACCAAATATTATCAGTATGAACGAGAAAAAAAATCTGAGCATGGTAAGTAGCGCATATAATGTGATGCTGGAATTCTGTAGTGTTTGTAGGGTAATAGCAGAAATACGGGAATAACACACATCTCTGTCATTAACAACGAATCAGCTTCTTCTACAGAAACCTGTTTAAGGATGTCAAACTATTAAGAAAGTTAAAACGCACATGGCAAAGAATGAACATTTATAAACTGTAAATAAAATGTAACTAAAATGTCTACATGTACATCAATAATTATGTTTAAGATATTGAGCATTGAAGACAAGCAATTTTTATTTATTGGAACATTTTTTTAAATGGAGAAGATTGGATAAATGGCTTTATCACTCCTTCTA